GAGTTGTTTTCATTCCGAGGCCTCTCCGTGGCTTGTAGGTGGCCGTTTCCTCCCTTTGTCTCCACATGATCTTCCTCCATGTGTCTGAGTCCTAATCTCTTCTTACAAGGACGCCAGTCATGCTGGAGTAGGGCCCACCTGTGTGACCTCATTTTACGTTGATTAGCTCTTAAAGCCCCTGTCTCCAAATACAGTCCCATTCTGAGGTACTAGGGGCTAAAATGCCAACGTATGAATGGGGAGGTCACGATTCAGCCGTAACATGGGAAGGGAGAGTGACTGTTAATGGGTATGGGACTTCTTTTTGGGGAGATGAAAATGTTCTCGAATTAGTGCGATTAATGCATAACTTCGTGAATATACTGAGAACCACTGAATTATCTGCTCTGAAAGGTCGAGCTTTGCCCTGGGGCAGAGAGAGGCGAGAGTGAGGTGGGAGAAGCTGGTGGGATTGGCAGGGGCCCATCACCTGGGGTCTCCCTTCATCCCTGCGAGCCCCAAGACTGCCCAAGACCTTGCCCTTCTCCACAATATTAAAGCTCATTCTTAGGGACCGTTCCAAACCGGGGTTGGGATTGGAATTGGGACACTTTTTAAACCTTCAAGGGCCAAGCTCCGCGCCGGTGGGCAGTTTACCAAGGAGCAGGATAACCTTGCTTATCAACACGCAGTGTTTCCTGTGTGCCAGGCACTGTCCCACTCGACCAGTAAGTCATTCGGTTTTCACAGCAACCCAGTGAGCCCAGCACCGTTACTCTTCATTCCTCAGGGCCAGGTGACTTGCCCAGCGTCACACTGCCCACATGCATAGATGGCAGAGCCAGGATTCCAGCGCTGCCAGCCTGGCTCCGGGGCCCGGGCCGTTAACCACGCCACTGTGCCGTGGGCGAGCCTCTAGAGAGCCCCGCGAGTTAAGGTTTATTATCCTATTGTTATCCTCATGTTATAGATGAGGAAACTGAGGCCCAGAGAGGTCAGTGACTTGGCTGGGGTGACACTGGGTTAGGAGGAAGCCAGGCGAGGAGCCGGGGAGCCTTCCCCAGCCTCTGCAGGAGGAGCCGCTGGGAACGCTCTCAGCCTGTGCACTGGTAGGTGACCAGGGTGCCCGGAGAATCACAGTGACAAAGCCGGGGGAGGGCTGGGCTGGGGGAGTTTTGATGCAGGAGAAGCAGCGCGGGGCGCTTGCCCCAGCCTCCCTGAAGCCTGTGTGTCCGGCCTCATCCCTGCTTGCCGGAGGCCTGGCCACCCACTGGAGGCGGCTCCTCAGCAAGGCTGCCGGGGGAGGGGGGCCTGGCCTGCCAGGGCAATCAGGGCAAGTGTCGAAGGTGCCGAAGCGACACCCAAGAGGGTGCCCAGGTGGCAGGGTGCCTGTGTCCCTGGGGGAGCCCCCTCCCAGCATGGGTGGGCGCGGCAGAAGCCCGCGTGACCTTGCTGCTGACATTCCTCAGGAGCCACGTGGCCCCAACTGGCAGGGACAGCTGTGCACAGAGGCCGCAGCAGCTTCCTTCCCGGGGTGGCGCCCGCTCTCCACCCAGGCCCCACTCCGGCTCCCACCAGAGGCTTTCACTCCTGGGTCTCAGCAGGCAGCCGGGCGGCCAGCGCTGGGGGTCCCGCGCCATGAGTGCCTAGAGGTCTCCCGGAGTGGGGCGCAGGGCTCGGGGAGGATGGGGCAGGACCAGACGAAGCAGCAGATTGAGAAGGGGCTGCAGCTGTACCAGTCTAACCAGACAGAGAAGGCGCTGCAGGTGTGGATGAAGGTGCTGGAGAAGAGCTCGGACCTCGTGGGGCGCTTCCGCGTGCTGGGCTGCCTGGTCACGGCCCACTCGGAGATGGGCCGCTACAAGGAGATGCTGAAGGTGGGGTACCCAGCCCAGGTGGTGAGCCAAGCGAGGGTCAGGCTGGGGCTGGATTCCTCCAGGCCCCCCAGCCCCCTCTGGGCCTCCGCAGGCTCCCCTTCGTCCCACAGGCTGGGGGCCAGTACCCGCAGCTCTGAGTCTGCGTCTAAGGCTCTGGGTCTTAGGTGCTGGGTCTTGGCTTCAGATTCAGGCCTGTGGCCTTGAACTTCAGTGGCTGAGCCTCTGAGACTCAGGTTCTCAGGGTCCAGAGTTCAGGGATCTTGAGCCCGGGTCTCGGAGTCTGGGTTTCAGCCTTCCTGCATGGGGCTCTGTGTCTGAACCTGGAGGGTGTGGGCTCCAGGTTTGAGGCTTGGGGTGAGAGGGTGAAGGTTGTGAGTCTGAGCCGGGGCGGGGGGTGCTCCAGGCTGAAGCCTCTGGCCTATGGCTGGGGTACGGAGCGTGCATTCGAGACCAGGGGTGGAAGGGCTGGGTCTGTCTGACTGAGGCTTTGGGGTCTGTTCTTTGGGTGTGAAACTGGGGGATAGGTATGGAGCCTCTGGGTCTGAGGCTGGAGGTCTGAGCCTGGGAGTTGGGAGCTGGGGCCCAAGGCTCGGAGTCCAGGCTGACAGTCACCTGCCCACTGCCTGGTGGGTAGTTTGCCGTGGTGCAGATTGACACAGCGCGGGAGCTGGAGGATGCCGATTTCCTCCTGGAGAGCTACCTGAACCTGGCACGCAGCAACGAGAAGCTGTGCGAGTTTCACAAGACCATCTCCTACTGCAAGACCTGCCTTGGCCTGCCTGGCACCAGGGCAGGTGCCCAGCTCGGAGGCCAGGTCAGCCTGAGCATGGGCAATGCTTTCCTGGGCCTCAGTGTCTTCCAGAAGGCTCTGGAGAGCTTCGAGAAGGCCCTGCGCTATGCCCACAACAACGACGATGCCATGCTCGAGTGCCGTGTCTGCTGCAGCCTGGGCAGCTTCTACGCCCAGGTCAAGGTGGGCCTGGGCCCCAGGGGGAGGTCAGCGGAGGGCTTTAGGGCTCCCTGAGAGCCTGTCATGAGCACTACCTTGTCCAGCCCTCCTTTTAGGTGGGAACAAGGAACTGAGAGGTCAGGAAGGGGAAAGACTTAACCGGGAAGGTAACAACTTGGCCAGGGATGGCAGAGCCCGGATGCAAACCTTGGTCTGTCTGACTTCCTGGGGGAACGAGAGGCTCCTGTGTGAGGACAGGCCACAGGCCTGCACTGCCAGGTGTTTGCTGTGTGATCTCGGGCAAGTCACCTCTCCTCTCTGAACCTGGGGAGGTCTGTCTATAAAATGAGGGAGAATAAGACTCACCTTACAGCAGGGTTGTAAGGATTCATTCATCAGATACTTAATGAGCGTCTGTTATATCCAGGCACCGTTGGCCAAGGGTGCGGCAGGGAAAACAGCAAAGCCCTGCCCTCATGCAGCTTGCGCTCTAGTTGGGGGAGAGACAACATGGTCGGAGTCAGTTACTTAGCTTGTCAGAAAGTGGTTAGAAGAAAATGAAGCAGGGCTGGGGCGGGCAGCGCTGGGGGTGAATGCATCGGGGTGGTCGGAAGGTGGTTGGAAGGTGATGTTTGGTGAAAGAGATGAGAGGGCAAGCCATGCAAAAATCTGGCAAAAGAGGATTCTAGGCAAAAAAGAAGGAACTGCTAAAGCAAAGCTCCACCCAGGGGAACATACCTGGAATGTTCCAGGATGGATAGAGGCCAGCATGGCCCTCAGACCTGTCTCAGGTGTGGCAGGGGGTAGACGGGGGAGGGGGAGGCAGACTGTGAAGGAGCTGACAGGGTCAGGGACCGCAGGCTTCCGGTCACGAGTGCTTTTGTTCCCCTTTCCCTTAGACATCTGGGCTGTGCTTGGCCCACAGAGGATTTCAATGCCTGGCACATAGTAGGTGCTTAATAAATCTTCCGGTAAATGAGTGTGTAAATGCTGATGGAACAGAGCTGGGATGGGAGGGAATGAGCAGCATAGGACGACAGCCAGGATTTTGTTTTCAGGA